TGGCCTATTGTAGCTTATCCTTCTCTCTGAGTTTCCTATAACTATACCTTCCAAAATGCTTCCTAGAGCTGGTAGCTTGCCCTCTTGTGATGAGGGGTGTTTTTTTGGCTTGCTGGTTTTGTGCCATTTTATGGGGTCTGTGGTCGGAGAGAAATAAAATAGAATCTTTAGTGGTGTGGAAGGATCCGGGGAGGAGCTTTAGTCTCTTGTTAGATTTTATGTCTCTTTGGACCTTGGTAGTTAAGAACTTTTTTAGTTATCTGTCAGGTCTCTTTTTGTTCGATTGAAGCCCATTTTTGTTTTAGTTTGGCTCCTTTTGCTATTACTGTATTTTTGTATGCTCCTTTGTATTCTTTTATTTCATCTCAATGAATGAGCGATACCTTTTTTTTTTTAAAACTCCAATGATTCATTGTTCAATCAATCTACTTATCGTACCACCCACAATGAAGAAGAGAATGGCCACTGCCTTAATTGCCTGGATGCATTTATTTTGCCTCATTGGTTTTGGGTTGCCTGCCTTAATTCTTAGATGCATTTATTTGCCTCCTGGGTTTTCTGATTAGAATAGTTGAGAACTTAAGTTCCATGAATTCATCCTTCAATCCATCTGTCCCACTTCGCAAAGCCTCATGAGCAAAGTTAAGTTTACGATTTAATTAGCTTTTACTCCAACACAATCACAAGCCTATCTCCATCGAAAACTTGGATTCACGAAGTCTAGCTTATTGGCCTGGCCTACTTATATAGGTATTTGTGATGGACAGTTTGTTAAGCATATTTAGAATGCATGGAGGCTGTGCTAGGACTGCCTTGGGCACCAAAATTGAAATCTAAGAAGCTTGGACGTGTCCGGCACTTATTGGACACGTATTAGACACATGTTAGCTCAATTGATGTATGTCACACACAAGTTGTTTGATATATCAAACACTTGTAGGACAAAATAATAAATTTTGAGAGCGAAATATACCAATTTAAGCATAAAAATACATAAGCTTATTTGCTTCGAATCTCCTTCTAGTGTAACAATGATTTATACTTTAAAAATTTATATTTTAATAAATATGTCCTTTCTTTGATCTATACTTCTTAAGAAAGGGCTTGCAAACGAATCAAAATAATTTCATTAAAGAGGGAATTACAGCAGAAGTCTGGATAAGCGCATAATACAGTTTTTAATAATGCAAGAATGTTCATGTGATTTTTTAAAAAATATTTGCATCTGTAGTGAAACTTCGTATTCAGGCACCTTTATTCTACCACAGTATTGGAAACATTTGGCCATCTTGAGGGATTTTTTAATATTTTTTTTCTTTTCTATAAGAAACCATTTATTGATGGTATGGAATTACAAAAGGAAGGGAAAACTATGATCTAAGGGAGTTACAAAAAACTTCTCCAATTAGATAAGAATTAGATAAAAGAGAAGCTACAGTGGAAAAGGGGTGAAATTTTACACGAAGTATCAACCAATAAAACTACCACATAAAAAAATTGGTAATAAGAACATGCCACAACCTTGTAGATTATTTGATTTCTTTCAATGACCCATATAAAAGCTGAAGGTTTTTTTATTTTATTCATCAGCCTCTTCATCATCATGTTTCGGCTTGATTGATAACGATTCGAGACTTCAGTCCTTGCATATGTGTGTATATATATATATTTTAATTTCCTGAGCATCTTGTTATTGATGTTATGTTAGTGAACTTTTGTTCAAGGGGTTAGAGTTTATTGGTGAGTAGTAATGTTTCTGCTGCTAGTTGAACATACTTTTTGTTGGGTGTTCCCTACTTTCTCAGGAGAGAGGTATGTCTATGTATGGATTGGTGTGATGGGATTAATGTTCTCCCTTCTCTTTCATATTTCTCTCTCTAGAAACTTTGTATTTAGGAACTTTTAATGTTTTTAGTTGTCTCCAATTCGAGCAACTTCGCATCTTCTCGAAAAGATTAAAAAGGAAAAAAAGAAAACCCCAAGAGCTGGGCCAGCTCATCTTCTGATTAAGTTTGTTCCTACTATTGAAGTTTGGAATTTTGTTCCAATTGGTTGTGTCCTCAGATCTTAGGAGGTGTTCAAAATTTCAAATTGCTAGATATAGTCAAGATTCTTATAGTTAAACGGAATCTGTTAACATTATTTTGGTTGGAAATGAATGTTGAATGAATCCTAGTTTTCTGAGTCTGAAAATTACAAGGGTCAGAGTTTTGACCTTGGCTTTGAACCTTGAGAGATGCGCTTGTTGATAAATCTTTGAGGGGACTGTTTGGAGGATTGTAATAAACCACCAATAAAGAATTTCACATTTGCATGGAGTAGATAACTTTTTAGGAGGATGGTGGATTTTCTTATAGAATCTAAGGATTACTTTGGCAATAAAATATGAAGGATAACATAATTTTATTGCATTTAGTACTGATGTTAAAGATTGAAACACTCTATTAATATTTTGCATCTTCAATAAGCTTTCTGATTCCCAATAATTGAAAAGAACAAAAAAGAAAAGAAAGAGTTTGGCCAAGAATCTTGCCATAAAATACATAATTTATTTTTTGGCCAAAAGAATTGAACAGGGAGTTTGGAGATATGACAGTGAATTTATTCGTATGATTATTTATTTATGATCTAACTCTTTATTTAACATATTTGATTTAAAGCATTAATAGGTGGGGCTACAGAATCCAACTCTGCATGGACCCTTCAATCTCGCTGTTGCTGCTCTCTCTCTCTGACGTGTAATTTTGGACCATAATTCCATAATTATGGCTGTAATGATTCAATAACCTTCTGTTCTTAATTTCATTTTCTCTCTTGTTTAATATGCTTCTTTTTTTTTAGTAATGTTTAACAAATTAATTTTGTATCCAACACGTTTTGATCCTTCACTTTTGAGTTTTATCTTTTATTTTTATGAATCTTTTGAATTGACATTTTTATAGTTTAGGGATTTATTACGAATTTATTGAATACAAAATTTAACTTATAAACTTATAATTTAACTTAAATTATTTTTGAAAAGATAGTCTTCTTTTTTTTTTATGAAATAAAGGTGGTTTCTTTGTCAATCAATGCATAGCTGGATGGTTAAGTATGGAGTAGTTTCTATTATCTACTAAGGTTCAAAGTTACAAGAAATTACTTTTTAAAATGTTTCTTGTTTTAAATTTCATCTAGTAATTTATTTTTTTCCTTTCTAATTTTCTCTCTAACTTTATTTATCTTTATTTTGTTCTATTGATTACTTTTTTGTCGCTGTAATTTTTGTAATTTGTCTAAATTTTTAGTCTCCATCTCTTTCTCTTTCTAAATTTTTTTCTCTCACTCTAATATATGTTATTAATTTGGTGATGCTAAAGTCACTTTGCAATCGAATATTAATCATTCAAAACCACTTTCTATCCAGAAAAAAATCATTCAAAATCACTTTTAATGATAGGAAAATCACTTGAAAAAAATGTAACTAAATATTAAAATAATTACTTTTCACCGATCACTCCTAAATTCGTGAGTTGATGCTCTCCAAGAATGTGGCTTTAAACTTGGCATGTCAGGAGAGATGCAAATTCTTTGGCAGAGAGGAATGTTTAGTTTAGTTCTTCGTTGATCGTTTTCAAACTCATAGGAGCAAAGCTATTTTTAGTACAAGTCCTGATTTTTAGGAAGTTGTTGCTGATATATATTTTCTTTTTTGTTGTAGTTAGTTAATTTAAATAACATATTCCCATGCAATTTGTCCTCTCGAAAGGGAAAAAAAAAAGATCAATTAGAGTATAGCCAAGTGGATATAATACTACATTTATTGAACTACGAAAAGAATCCCTTGCTTTATTGAACTAAGTAGATTCAAATTTTCATCAAGTTGTTGTCATACTTATATTTAGGAATACTTATATATTCTTTTTTTTT